CTGCAATTTACCTGCTGCTCCTCACCCGCTTTCAGCCTGACAGAGTGGATGGACCAGGAGCCCCTCCGGGACTGCCCCTGTCCCCTCACCCTCCTCAGCATTTTCTCTGTAACCCCAGCGTCCTAACTGTTCCCCTGCCTCTGGTCACTGTTCCCACCACGCAGGTGGCCTTGCCAAGTCTCCGGCCAGCTTTTTTATAGATGCAGAAAAAGCACATGTCCTTCTCAACTCAAAACACTTTGGAATTATTACAAAGTTGATTATATTCCTAAATTGTACAAAAAAAATGTAGACCACAATATTCATTTGCTTAGTCTATTATTTTCATTTTCATTAATGTTGTATAAATCGTGACCAAAGATGCTGGGGGGGGGGGCCGCAGGTGAAAGAACCCTGGAGAATCTAATAAAAACCAAGGCTGGGGCAGGGATTTAGCTCAGTGGTGCCTCCGCCTGCCTCCCAAGCACAAGGTCCTGAGTTCGATCCCTGGTACCAAAAAAAAAAAAAGTGTAACTCTATCCTCAGACACCCCCACCCACACATCCTAGCAGGGCCACACAACTTTAGCAAGGCCGCACATCCTTAGGAGCTCACATAGAATCCAGGAGCAATGCTTGTCCTAGAACACCAAATCATAAAGAGGGAGGAAATAGAAACAAATGATTAAACCCAGCTGGGGTAAGGGATAAATGGAGTGGAAACAGTCCGTGGAGGCTAATAAGTCGACATCAATCAGCACTATTACCAGGGGAGAGCAGTGCGCTGAGAAAGCATCTGAGAAAACTGGCCACAGAAAACCCTGGGCATGGGGACCTGGGGCCTGGGCTGGGGGCAGGGCAGCTGTAAGATAAAGACTGCCACCCCAAAACATACACAGTAAGACAGGCACAAAAAGCATCAAAAGCCACCCTTTTTTTTCAAATGAAAATAATTTATGCTTTTTGTTAAAGTAATAAAAGGAAGTTGTGTTTTAGCTCAGGAGGTAGAGGGCTGCAGAGCTGGGGAGGGTAGCCCTGCTCCTATCAACAACAGAAAGGTACATAATCAACATCATAACTTTTCTTGTGCTCATCAGACAAGAGACTACAGCCAAATAAACTGAATTCCCTAAGACTACCACCCTCGGACAGAGACCAGACACCTGTACCACACACTCACAGCCCAACTGTGGGCCAGCATGGCAGTGGGGAGCAGCCAAGCTCCAGAACAAGAGGGGCTCCCACCCCACAGTCGCTCCACTGGGTGTCCTGCAAAACCACAGGAGTCAGGGAGAGGAACACTCCCCCACCCAGGGCAGCACCCTGGCCCCACCTGCCTCCACAGGCCTTCCTCCCAGGGCAAAAGCAGAAGCCCCAGGCACAGGCGTGGAGCCTCTGCACCTGGAGAGAAATGGAGACAAGGCCTGTCTTGCTCAGGATGGGTACAGGGAACTCCAAGACACAGTAAAGAGTGTGGAGAACGCTGTGAGGGAAGAGACCAAAGCCCCACTGTGGAGCAGGGCACAGAAAACACCTTGGGCACAGAATTAGGCAGAGGCTGGCAACCACAGGGAGAAGATACTGGGTCCAATCCTCGGGATCAAAAAAATAATGGCTGGGAAATTTTAAAAATCAAGACATCAAGCTACACATCTAAGAATCTCAAAGAATCTCAAGAAGAATAAAACCGCAAAACCAAACAGCACAGTTGTCATACACCAACTATTAAAAAATCTAAAAATTAAAAGAAAAATTTGAAGACTACCAGAGAAAAAACATACAGAGACACAAAGACAAGAATTACAGCAAACTTCTCATCAAACACCGAGCCAGAAAACAAGTGTCTGTTTCGAAGCTCTGAAAGAAAAACTGTCAGCACAAAATTCTATAAACAGGAAAAATATCTTGTAATAATAAAGACAATTCTTCAAACAAAAATCTGGGAAATTCAATGCCTGCAGACCAGCAGTGCAAGCAATGTGAAAGGAAGTCTTGCAGCAGAATGACTAGGACACCAGATGGAAAATTAGACCTAGTCAAATAAAAGGAATAGTCCCCAACCAGGTTCGATGGTACACACCTGTAATCCCAGCACTGGAGAGGTTGGGGCAGGAGGATTCCAAGTTGAAGGCCAAGCTGGACTACATAGACAGTTCAAGGCCAACCTGATTACACTACACGATCCTAAGAAAAAAAATCTAAACAAGAAAGAGTTCCCAGGGCCGGGGATTTAGCTCAGTGGTTTCGCCGCCTGCTGCGCAAGCACAAGGACCTGAGTTGGATCCCCAGTAGAAAGACAAAGAAAGAAAGGAAAGAAAGAAAAAGAAAGAAAAGAAAAGGGGAGGGGAAGGGAGAGGAGGGGAAGGGAGGGAAGGGAGGGAAGGGAAGGGAAGGGAAG